CCATAGGAAACTAATAGAATTACTCTTACATTACTGAAATATTCTGTATTTTATGAAAAAGTAAAACAAAATTTCATAAAATAATAAGATAATAACAATAGTTATTGAACTCTGTATTGTAATCTTAAAAGTAGTGACTCAAAATATAAGACATATTCTTGCAAGAGGGTAAGGAATGAAAAGAACCACATTTCATAAGTTTATTCACTTAAGAAACAGTTATTAGGTATCTACAATGAACTAGATATCCTATATTAATTTACCAAATATTACAAAAATGCTAGCAGACGAGGATTAGCACCTGTTGCTTACAGATGAAGAAACTGAATTTCACAGAGCAGTAACTTTCCCGATGTCACACAGTGAACCTGGAGGTGGTGGGAGCGGGAGTGGGTCCAGGTCTGGCTGATTCCAGGCCCTGTGATGGAGCTGCTTTTCTGTGTAACTGCCCTGCTGAATGCTCCAGCTCATCACTGTCCATTTCAAACCTTTAAAGAACACTCAGTGAAAAGTGAACTCTCCCCTCCCCCTAAATGTATAATGTCAACATGAAGCACAGGATAAAAATGCCAGAAGCAGATAGCTCATAATACCTGATACCAAAGTGGACCGGTTTAATGGAATATTCTTTTATTGTACTGTATCAAAGGGAAAGACAGTGAACAATGGTGATAGCCTTTTTGTGGCTGCTCTCAACATTTCATGTTCATTTTTATCTTGCCAGTTATCTGAGTGAGACAGCTAAAAAATAGACTGAAGAAGATATTTCAGAAGCATATGTCTTAATCATAGATAGGTGGTTGGCTCAAAGATGTATTTCAGTTTTACCAAGAATAAATCAAATAGAAAATAACCATGACATTGTGATACAGATATTATACTTTACAAATCTATTAGTGTGGTGAGGTTTCTTTGTTGTTGTAAGCACTTGGGAAGGGTGCTTTGGTAACTGTATCTATTAAGCCTCAAGATGGCAATTATATATGGCTAATTACTTTATTTTACCATTTATGAATTAACTCTTATTCATTCTTAACATCCAGCTCATTTTTGTCATACCATAAGATCAATCTCTTGTGCTCTCTTCTTTGTACCAGTAACATATTTTTGCATTAATAATGTGTAATGCATTCTTAACATGGATTATTTATATATCAGAATCTCCTGTTAAACTGTAAACTTGTGAGGGATTAAAACTACTCTTACCCACTGTTCATCAGCATCTCAACAGCTGCCACACAGCAAGCATAGAGGTATTAAAAGCAGAGGGTGGATTAGGAATGGTATGGCAGAGAAACACCTGCACCGTGTGGGCCCGAGACTGCCCCATGGTTCATCTCTCCCAGATGCACTGCACCTCCAGTTGACATGGCTTATTCTCTTTCCTAAATGCATTCTCTTCCCATCTTTCTGTCTTTTCTCTCTCAGGGAAAGTACAGCTATTAATATTAGTAGCAGTACCAATATTACTGTTAGCACTGAAAATACAAAATGTACAATGTTTACTGTGTCAGGTCTTGTTCCAAGTGTTTTTCTTACACTAATTTAATCCTTAAGTCAAATCTCTTAGGTGGATAGTATTAATCCACTTAATAGATAATAAGACTTAGGCATGAAAAGATGAACTTGCCTACTTGCTTAAGGTTACATAGTTCATATACGGTGAAGATAAAAATTGAGTCAGGCAATCTGAGTACAGTGTCTTTTCTTAACCATGGAGTCTTCTTAACTAAGAAAAATTACATTTATAATTGATGAGGGCGAGCTGTCTGTGTATTTTATTAATTCTTCCTTTCCCTGCATGAAATTATATACAATTAATGTTCAATTGTTTTATATAGATACATGTAACTTTATCATTTTATTGTCAGAGCTTTAATATAGGGTCAAGACTTTTTCTTGGTGAATGAGTTTACTTACGAACATTTCTTTTTGTTCATTTTACCCACTTCCTTTTTGCATTGTTCTGAATTTCCAGCTTTGTTTCATTAAAGAGGAACAAAAATGGAAATGCACTTGGCAGAGTATTCTGAGTGCAAAGCCCACCTAGTTGTTTACAGTTTACTTTATTATTCATTTATTTACATTTAATGAAAACACAACTTAGTCTGTTCATAGTGACTATTACAAGGCATCTTTCCAAAATATTAGAGCAACAATTCTCTTCCTTTTCACACTGAAACAGGATTGGTTTAGATATTGAATTACATTGAGTAATTACAATGATAAGTTCAATGGGCATAAGTATTGGTGAATCAATGCTCTCTCTTGCTATGCACACATGCCCTTGGATGACTCAGGAAGTTAGGAGCATGCAGGAGACAGGGCTCTACAACTAACACTTGTGCCCTTGCTTATCAGAGATAATCTGGTGTTAATTGGAGTTGTTGAAGCGGGTGCTGGGTGTTTTGCATTCCTTGAGAAACCACTCTGTTATCCTCTGCAGTGCCAGCTCTGCCAACTTTCGACTTGATGCAGAGGTCATCACATTCTGAGACTTCACAGTATTTTTCCTATTTTTATTGTATAATCAGATTAAGATGTCTTTCTTTCCTTTTTCCCATAGGTAACTATATTATAGAGAATTGTACAACATGTTTTCACCTTACAGCTATAAGGTCTATTTCATTATTCCAACTACAGATTCCTGTATTTAAATTTTAGGGAACAGAGTGTTCCTGGGAAATCACATATTACTATTAATTCTTGTTGCCTGTTTATAAAGGAGTCCAAGTCTTTAGGGGAAAACCATGAAACATCATATTTTGATTTAACCTTTGGTGCATATGTTTTGTATAATTGCTCAATGTTTATATCAACTAATTGAACACTGCCACATCTAAAAATTCAGTTTCCAAAAGCTTAAAAGATTGTATGAAAGTTATTAGGGAAACCTATGTTTTAAAATTAAAAAAGAAAAAAATGGGAAATGCTTTGAAGCCATTAGTATAGACATACCACAAACATTTTAATGAGGAATATTTTTGATAGAGAAAAGAAATCAGACTAGAGGGTGGTCACTATTTTAGCCAAACTGCTGATCCAGTAAAGTAAATTATAAAGTGTTATTAATGATACCTTTAACAGGACAAGTCCTACATTTTTTCCTACTTCACTGCTGTTACAAGGGAGCTATATATTTTTGGCTCAATCATGATATTAACTTTTTAAAATAATGCCTTCCTTTATGTGCTTTATTATTGGTCTAATCTATAAATGATAGTGTCTCAGTCATTTTCTCCAGAACACAATATCGCTTATGCACAAATTAAGGAGGAGAGGTTTATTTTGGCTCACATTTCAGACGTTCCAGTCTTTGCACGATCAGCAGCGTGGTAGAGGGCCTGGCAGAGGGAAAACTGCTCACGTCATGGTGGCCAGAAAGTCAAGAGCGTAGAGAGGCGCTGGGGAGGGAGATAAACCCTTCCAGGTAACACCATCAGTAACTGGGCTTTTCCAAGCGGGCCACACCTCCTAATATCACATTCAGTTACAGGGCCAAGATTCAGTTACCCTTAAAAGCCCTGCCTTTAAGCATATGAGGCTTTGGGAAGACATCCAGGTATAAACCATAACAGATGGTTTTAGAGAGAGTAAGAGAACAGAAAATGAAAAGATTAAAAAACGGGGGTGAGGAGATTCAGTCCAGTGTCATGGTTTGAATGTCCTACCAAAACTCAAATTGAAGGTTAATCTCCATTATGAGTTATTAAGAGGGTGGAAACTTTATCTGACTACAGAATTTCTATGTCAAACCTATGGGAAATAAGGGTTAAATGAGGTAGAGGGTTGGTGGCATAATTCACTGGGATTATGGCTTTATAAGAAGAGGAAGACCTGAGCTAGCATACACTGTGATACTCTGTGCTGCCCAGGATGCTGCAGTGTCCACACCAGCAAGACGAACCTTGCCAGATGCAACCGCCCAGTTTTCAACTGCCCAGCCTTCAGAAATATAAACTGAATAAACATCTATTCTTTATGAATTATGTAGTCTGTAGGATTCAGTTATAGCAACAGAAAATGGACTAAGACACCTAGGAAATACAGCAGCTTTATACTTAAAAGATTTCTTTCTCCCACAAAATTTTTGTTTGCATTTACAATATAGTTATCTTGCTGGCTGTCCTCAGTTTTAGAGTTAAGATAACATCTTTATATTTATAATTTTATATTTAGTATTAAGTAAATAACACCATCATGCAGATCTCATTGTAATGGTAAGGGCCCAGCTCTGTTATCATGCTTATGACCTCACTCAAGGAGGGTGGGAGAGGCCTTCCAAAGGCTGTATCAAGTTCTCATACAGAAAACTGAAAAAAACAATCTCCAAATAGTTTTAATTTCTCAGCTCCAATACTAAAATCCTGTCATAACATCATCTCCATTTTAATGATAAAGTGCAAATCTGGAAAACAGTAGTATTTTTTCGAGTTTTTCAGAACTTTTCCCTGGGCAATAGCAGATTGGATAATTTTCCTAGATTACTTTTTTTCTGACTCTTGTTGCTGTCTTCACCTCTCTAAACATATGCACACATTACAGTAGTAATAGAGAATAAAGAAGTACTTGTGTACAGTCATTATGTAATTCATCAGGACAATAAAAATTAATATTCAACCTATGTCAAGCAGGAATAAGTGCTCTAAAGAAAAGTAAATAGGAAGAGGGATTAGAGGATTTGAAAGATGTGCCTCTGTACAGAAGGCATTTGTCTGTGTAGGCATGTGTGTCTATGTATATGCCTATGTTTATGTGAGGGGGTATTAAATATTAAATAAAGGGGCAAGCCTTGTAAGCCACTCTTAGATTTGAGCAAGACAGCAGGCATCCTGTGCTCTGTCATTTACCACCGCCATATACCACAAACATACACATTTGCTGAAGTACACATAGGCGCCCCTATTACTCAGGGTGTGTACCCTGATTAACAGGTCAGTGCTGGCACTGCTCAGCCAGTGACCCAGAACATCTCTGAGCATGCATAAAACTTCTCAGACCTTTAGGAAGCTCTTGTACCATGTGTGGTTGCTCATGCTTGTAAGCCCAGAATTCTGGGAGGATCAGGCAAGAAGACTGCAAGTTCAAGCACAGCCTGGGCAATTCAGTGACTCAGGGAGACTCCGCCTAAAAATAGAAAATAAAGCAAATAAAAGGATTGGAGATTTATCTCAGTGTGAAGGTACTGGATTCAATCCCCAGTTTACTCCACCCCACCTCAATCTCTTGTACCATGATCACAAAAGCCATAGTATCCCACTGCCACAGAGTGGGTGGGTTGTGCTGTGTTCATGTTGGAGAGGACATGACTAACAAAGGCATTAAATCACAAGAAAGATTAATTGAATTGCTGACTCTTTCTTTTCAGAGAAACAGACTCTTGCATAATACAAAATTAATACCCGCTGGTGCTAAGTGTCTATTTATTTCCTTCTGCTTGTGTTCTGGTTTGTGGTTTTGGAGACACAGATTAATTGTATTACACTAATGACAATGTGATGGTCATTGAACACTATTATTGTGAATAGTTTCTGTGTATTAAAATATTCAGTATATTTTAAGTAAATTTTCAAAAACTAAAAGCTTAGCTTTATTTAAATGATTGATTTTGATATTCAATAGTTACTTATAATTTACCTGTTAGTTTTAATCAGGATTTTAAAAGCTTAAAAAATAAATTTCTTTGAAAGCCTGAAAAATTTCAATGTTTTAGTGTTTTTTTCTCATTAAAATATACTCAAATGTTATACATTTTGAATGCAATAGCGTTTCAATGTACTAACTTATGATTTATTTAGTCTTTATTATTCATCTAAACACCATTGACCCATCAACAGAATACCTGGATGTATACACGTTAAGAAACTTAATAATCTTTGATGTCTCACCTACTTGAGTAACCATAGCCTTATACTTAAAAATTATCATCACAAAGGCCTATTTGCTAAGGCAGGGGGACAGAGTAAGTTTTATGTGGCAGTGCGTAATCTTGTGTGACCACTTTGAATATAAGATACAGGGCTTCTATTCATTCTTTCACCTTGGTTCCTGCAAATGGGAAGAGCAGGCGTGGAGCCCTGCAAAGGGCTGAGGAGAGAATGTTCTGGCTGGAGGAGGAGCAAATGCGCTGGCCCTGTCTCAGCCTGAGCTACCGTAACAATACTATGCATTGAGAAGTTGAAGTAACAGGAAGCTATTTTCTCAAGGTTCTGGAGCTCTAAGTTCACAATCAGGGTGCTGCTATGGTTAGGTGCTACTAATGGGCCTCTTCTTGGTTTGCAGATCTGCTTGCAAGACAGAGAGAAATAGCTTTTGGTATCTTTTCTTATAAGGGCCTCACCCTCACAACCTCATGGAGCCAATGTTAATTAGAGTGAGATTAGTAAAAGCAAGATGGCAGGAAACAAATCAGAGATAAGGGTAGGGGCCAGGTATCTTAAGTGTGCCATTGTGAGACATCAGAATTTAAATGTGATAGGAAGCCTTTGGAGAACTGAGAGCAGGGCAGTGACACACAATGTTTACACACAAACTATATTATGTATGTGTGGGTGTATAGATATATGTATACATAACATATAAAAATACACATCTATAATATACATATAAATCACCTAGGCTGTGTAGAAGGACAATACTGGACATAGAAGAAGAATCTATTACAATTAGTAAGGGATGATGGTGGCTTGAACTGGGGACATTGTGGTGGAAGTGGCAAGAGGTCACTGACATAGGAATAAATCAATATGTCTGTTATGGATTAAGAACTGGTGGTCAATAAGCCAGCTGGATTACATCAGCATGGCATTGAGCGAAGATGCTCCATCTGAGGAAAGATGCCAGGATAAATAGGTGCAGAAGGGAGGTGTTGAGGGTTGAGGCGTTAATTGTTCTCTGTGTACAACCTCTGACTACAACATTATCATTATATAGGTGAAAGAAACTTCCTACTTACTAGATGTCTGGTATAAGTTTGTGTTCTCTAAAATCGAAGAATAAATTTTAGAAACAATGGAGGTTAAGAGCAGAATATATTTACTGAGAGAAAGAAAGCTTCTCTTCGAGAGAGAGACAGGAGTCCTGAGTGAGTTGCTGAGGAGCCTGCCTTTTTCAGGGAATTTTATATAGCAAAACCAATTTTATATAGCAGGTCCATGGTGTGCAATAATGGGAACTCGCAAGGCAGGTAAGCATGAGGTGGGATAGAACTATGGTTAACCAGTAAGATTACAAGTGTAAGTGCTCAGGTAAAATGGATTAAATTGGGATCAAATGGAGATAAGAGTCATGTAGCAAGCGGGCATGAATACAAAATAGGGTCTTTGCTGGTAAGGGGTTGGGTTAGGAGCTCCTTCTGGGTGACTGATAGCTATTTAGAACATCAATCTTTGATGCTTATACTTAGGGTGTGGTTGCATTTGTTATGACTTTTGTCTTGAGATCTGGCCCACAGCAAAACTGTCTTCTCCAAGGTTGCAAGATATCTGATCTCTGCACCTGCTCCTTAGAGGGGGTCTATCCCTGTCTGACTGCCTATAATACTTCCATCTAATTCAGTTGCCTGTAACAGAACAAAATAGAGGACACAGAGATAGACTCGCATACATAGAGTCAATTAACCTTTGACAAATAGGTAAAAGTAACATAGTGGAGAAAAGATGGTTCTTTCAAAATATGCTGCTGGAACAAGTAAACATTTATATGCAAACGTTAATCTAGACACAGCCCTATCCCTTTCACAAAAATTAAGTCAGAATGGATCATAGAACTAAGAAGGAATTCAAAACTATAAACTAGCATCAGAGAGAAACTAGAAGATCTTGGAGAAGGTAATGGCCTTTTAGATATAAATTTTTCTTTTCTTTATAATTATTTTCTTTCCTTTATCAAGATAAGAAAATAATTAATAAATTGATTAAAATTTTAAAAATTCTCTGTGAGACTCTGTGTGAAGAATGAGAAGCCAAGCCACGGACTGGGAGAAAATATTTTCAAGGGACACATCAGTGACCATTTCCATGGTGCCAGTTATCAGGGGCCTTTGTAGTGAGTCCTCAATTTCCTGCTGTATGGCACACCACAAGAAAAAAGAGCAAGAGACAAGAATTGCAAGGAAATAGGGCTCTGGGATTATCAATATTCAGTGGGAATGAAGGCCAAGAATCCTCAGCAAGATACTACTCTATTAGCCACCGCAGTGGGAGGGGTAGGGTGTTTTCCTTACAGTAGTGTGGAAGGAGTGGTTGAATGGGCACATTTAACATCATAAAGGAAACAAGTCAAAATTCATCTCCACACCGGGGTACTGGCTTTTCCCGTATTGTCCTCAGCAGACCTCCTCTGCTCTGTGTCACAGCCTCATTGACCATCAGGATCTCAGTGGTGACAGAAAGGAAGCAGGATTTTTGCATTCCGAAAGTGGCCCACAAGGCAAGCAAGGAGGGCCTCAGACAGATAGTATGTCGATTTATAATTCCTTGGTATTTATCCAAATAAAATAAAATTTTATGTCCAAATAAGTTAAAACTTTATTCAAATAAATTAAAAACATGTCTACACAGATGTCTAGAGCTGCTTTATTCATAATTGTCAAAATTTGGAGCAACTAAGATATCCTTTGGTAGTTGCAAGGATTCACAATCAGGTATGTGTAGTCAGTGAAATATTATTCAGCACCAAAAAGAAACGTTATTGTGACATGAAAAGACACAGAGAAACTTAAAATGCATATTATTAAGAGAACAAAGCAAACACAAAAAGACAGTATACTATATGAATCCAACTGTATGACATTCCAGAAAAGGTAAAATTTTAAAGACAGTAAAAAGACCAACAGGGAAACACGGATGAACAGGCAGGGCACAGAGAACTTTTAAAGTGGTATTTTGTATGGTATTGTGATGGTGGGTATATGTCATCACACATTTGTTAAAACTCAGAAAATGAAGTAGCAAAAATGATTTCATGTGAACTGTAGACATTGATGTATAATGATACGTCACTGCTGGTTCACTGGCTCTCCAGATGTGGCTGTCTGGTGTGCCATGTGACAGTAGGGAGGCTCTATGTCAGCAAGCAGGGTTCCATGGGAACTCTCAGTATTTTCTGTTCGATTTTGCCATAAATTCTAAGACTGCTCTAAAAATTAAAAGTTAATTAAAGTAAATCATTTCAGGTATCACTTTCACTTTTTGAGACTTCTACTTTTTAAAGTTAGTATATATTCACAATACACAATGGTTAGACTCCTTGTGTAGTATTGGTACATGTACATGACACATCTTTATTCCTTTTATTCATTCCCTTTCTTGCCTTCTCTTTCTTTCCCTCTATCTCTTGATCCCCTTTCCATCTGAGAAACATCCATCTTTTTATTTCCTGTTATCTATGTTTTATTTTGTTCTTTATTTATAATTTGGGTTTCTCATATGAGAAACCATGAGATATTCAAACTTGTGACTGCTGTATTTTACTTAACTTTATGGTTTTAAGGTACATGTTCAGCCTCTTGAAAAGCTTAATCATGTGTATGTGCATATGTGCCTATGTATGTGTGCGTGTTTATGTGAGGGCAAATCTGACCCCTGTTATCCTCTCTAAAGTAGGAGTCAGGATATCTCTTTTCTAACATCTATGTTGGTTTTCCAAAACCATCTGAGAAAAAATAAATCACACACATTCTTTTTGAGAAAAAAATCCACCTTTGCATGTGTAAGCCAGGAAATAGGAATCTAAATTCCTTTAAGAACAGCTAATTGTTAGAAACAGTTCACTAATAGATGTTACAGGCTTTATGTCTAATTTTTTAAAAGGCACAGTTCTTAACATCTCCCCACTCTCTGAGGTTATGTCTTATTATTTTCTAAACCAAGTGCCTCTGTGCCTTGTGGCTTTTCAGAATCCCTTTCACGTTCAACTTTACTCTGGTTTGCACTTGCTTTTTGTTCAGACAATCTGCTCTGGACCACGTCCTGCTCTTGGCTAATACTACTGCAAAGATATGGCTGGGTAAATCTATTATGTCTACATTTTAATGGGCTTCTATAAATGGTGTCTTAATGCATAGTGATAACTCTAGTGATAGAAATCTAGGTACTTTGGTAGGCTGGTGGAAATGATATTTTTAC